AAATAAATATTATATGTATAGTATAATATTCCCGATGGTGTGTTAAATTCATCTTAAAGAGTTTTCTCTAATATTAAATAAAAAATTTACATGAAATGAAAGATTGCAAATATCTTCATAAGAAGAAATTCATCACAGATTAATTACTATTTAAAATAATGTTACAGTTTGATGAAATGTCAAAATTGATTAAATGTCAATAAAATCAAATATCAATAAAACTAGTATTTTAATACTGCATTGAATTCATCTTAAAAACCTCTACAATATGAAAAAAATTATATAATACTATTTAAAAAATTTAAGATGATTTATTTTGATTTTTTAAAACTTTTTTATTGCAAATCTTAAATTGTATTAAAAGAACAGATAAATATTCATTTTTGAATTTTTTTTATTATTAAAAACGTCCCAAAAATCATGTGGACTATTACACTGAACATTCTGTACATGTATATCATTTTATGCACATACTATAAGAAAATAATCTAATAAAGATTTCAGAATAAAGAAAGAGCTTCAAAACTTCTATAAAAAAATTTCTATTGTATTGTTTATTTATATAATTAGAAGTTGATATTTTTAACAAAATATTCTAATGAAAACATTTGCAATTTGTTTTAGTATAGATTGCAAATAACATAAATAAATATTTGAAGATTATGATCTGTGATTATGATGACAAATTATGAAGCAAAAAATTTTTGCTATTAATATATTTTTGTCTGTCAATGTAAAGTTAATTTAAATTAATATATTCATATGTTTCATAAATATATATTCAAAAAATAAAATCAAACCTTTGTTTGTTGGAATAAGTGTATAAAAGTGTAACCATTTCCAGCAACACCATGGCAAATGCTATATCCTTTCCTTAATAATCCTCGTTGCCACGTTACCTCTCCGCATCGTATTGCAGTCTCCAGAAATGTACTATCTTCAAATATCTAATTATATCAATGACAATATAACAAATAAATACTTTTTTCTAATTTAAGATATTGGAAATTAGATATATTTTTTAATTTAATGTATATTTTTTATGACCTTATAAGCCAAGCAAAACAATACAGCAATCCCAGGCGCTCCATGACACCATTGTACTAATCTGTCAGAAGAATTACTCGTAGAAGAAGGAAAGTTTCCAGAAGAAAATTGTAATTTTTGAAGATAATATAAAGATGGTTTTATATAATTGTCCATTTGTACTTGCGTTAAATATTGTCGTGCCTGAAAAGAAGAAACATTTAAAAATCAAAGTGGGAATAATATAATTTTTATGACTTTACATATATTCAAGAATTAATATATAAGATGATAAAATAGCATATCAATTCATAGAAAAAATTATTTTTCAAAAATATAACTTTTATAATACCTGCAATAGCAAATATAGTATGCCTGCTAACCCGTGAGCAGCACCAATATATTCTTTATTATGCCAAGAATACATTAAAGGTGACTGGCAATCATTTGATAAAGCATATGATATTCCAGAATTAATAATGTAAGAAATAACCTGTGAAAATATCTTGCATATAAATATTTTATAAATAAGGATTTTTTAAAAGGACAATACAAATAAGGATTTTTTAAAAATATTTTTACATTTTTGAATAAAAATCAATTAACAGATACATTTTACACAAAAAAATATTTAGTAATACCTCTATGATAAGATCTGCTTCTATAGGAGGTGGCAATATATTTGCATTTACATAAAGTAATCCAGCTAGATATCCAATTCTTCCATATAATAATTCATCAGGAATATCACTATGTTTGTCCAAAACATAAACGGATAAAGACTTCAGCCTAAATTAAAAAATTAGATGTTTTATTTTATCATAACATAATGTTCTTATATTTCTTAAAATAAATATATAGACACAATAAAAGGAATAAAATAAAGAAATTAAGCAAACACATGTACGTACACACATGCTTCTTCAAAATATTTTTCATTCAAAAATTACAAAATATACCTAAGAAGTAACTGTTCTGCTTCATCTTTCTTTTGTTGTGAATGTAATATTACTGCTGTTAAAGCCAATGGACCTACAATTCCAGTCAAAAATGTGATTTCATGTCTACTTTTAAATTTTGTGGTACATTTTTGCAATATTTCTGTTGCCATCTGTAGCAAAAATATCATGTATGTAAAAATATATTGTAATGTTAAGAGAATCGATTTTAAATTAAAAAAGGGCATGAAAATTAATAAATACATTCATATATGCAGAATTATTGTAATATTTTCCATATTGATATAACGTATATGCAATTCCTGCTTGTCCGGTATATACGGTATAATCATTGCTGTTGAGCCATTTCCTTTCATTTTTTTTAATATTTCTATAAACTTTTTAATTTCTGATATTAGTAATGTTTTAAATGCATCATGAATCTGAAAAAATAATTATTCCTTATTAATCAAACATTTTCTACAGATTTTTCAAATATATTTTTGATGACAAATGATTTTGAATATTTATTAAATTATAAAATATTGTAAAACTTTTTTATACCATATTAGGATCACTTTTTACTATGTTGCGACTAACAGAAATGGAATAATCTTCAAATTGATTTTCATAATGTTTAGTAGAATCCATAGTGCATGAAGGTTGTTTCTTGTTTTTCTTCACGTAGTAAACTTATACAATAAATTTTCAAATGTACTGAAATGATTCATATTAAAATTAGAATGAGTATATCTGTTTATATCTGTTTAACTTAAGCAGATATAAACAGTTGGTTCTAAATTAAATTTAAACAAAGTTTTGAATTCAGTTTACTGGGTGTATTTAACAAAATTTTATTATACATTCAATCACAAATAAATTTCAATACTTTTTCTAACCTTTTTGATATTTCTGATCCTTTACTGGATCAATAAATAATATGGCAGCGATTTTATATATTTTTATCCTTCAATATTATCTGAACTTCTTTTCCGATATAATTATCAAATAGAATCGGATTGTTTTTATATAGCTGATGTGAAAAATTTAAACCATTTCTTTTAGCATACTCATATCAGAGATCATAAAGAATATAAATAAAATTAATAAATATAGGCTATTTGTTTTCTGTTATTGGACCGCACTAAAACTTTTTAATTCTCTATTCTCTCTTTTGTTAAACTTTAAATAAGTATACGGTGATTGCATTCACTGCTAATACTGAAAATATGACAGTCACATATATTATAGATTCTCAGTACTGATAATGAATATCGAAACAGAGTCTTAAGCTGGATGCACAATGAAAAACACAGGTAACAGGAACAGGGAGTAGGGAACAGATTTTGACCAATCAGAAATATCTCCGACATTCTTCCCAACTTCTGATTGGTCGAAATCTGTTGCTATTCCCTGTTCCTGTTTCCTGTACCTTTTCATTGTGTCTCAGGCTTTAGTGCCATTCTACAATAACAATAGCTACACATATCGAGCGCTCCATACGAACGCGACTTTATATGATTATCATGACGAGATAAAATGCACGTTTCGCCGGTCACGTCTAATCATCGTCTTACGTTTCACTAATGTCAAAAGACATCGACACGCGAACTCTAATTTATTTTACAATGACAACATGTGCGTAGGTCCATTGAAGAAGATATGTCATTGGGGTCCGCTTTCTGCGCTCGGTATGTGATATTTTCTATCAAAATACCCCACCTACCTATATTAATCATCTTTTAGTCATCATCTCATTTACCACACATTTGATAAAAACATTAAATTTCAATTAATAAACTTTAATTAATTTAATCATTGATTTCTCGCTGCAAAATTTCTATAATTTACTGTTTTTTTTTTCCAATGCCAAATCATATACGTTCTATAAGTTAATAATTCTATTAGTAAATATATTTTAACGATACAATATTTCTTAACAAATTAATTTGATTTTAATCAATACATACATGGCAAATTTCTAAAATCTGCCAAATAAGAAAAAGCCTTGATAAATATTTTAATACTACATTCTATTATATTTATTTCTTTTTCCAAAATGTTATATTAAATTACTCAATATAATTAATAATTTTATGTAAAAAATATGGCATCAAACTCTAAAATATTTCAAAATTTCAGCTTTTGTCATTATTAATTTTTGTTACAGCAACAATAAAAATAATAACATTGATGACAATACACTGCAGCAGACAATGGTGGCCACCACAAGAAAGTTTACCAGCAGCTGCCAGTTTCTTATTATTCTTTACCCTTAGTGGATTAACTCTATTTCATTTTATTAGCGCAATTTTTGAAGGACCTGGCTATCTTGCGTTAAAATGGATGCCGGTAATATATGTTTGTCATTAAAGCCATTTGAATATTAAATTCTTTTATTTGCAACCAATTTTTTATTAACAAACTCATACTATTTAATTTGTTTTTATTACTTCATATTTGTTACTGAATTGTTACTTGATAACAAATTTGTATTTGAAATTAGAATTCTGATTAATTCCATATCATTTAGTTTCAAAATTTTATATATATATATATATATTAAGTAATTTTAATATATTTTATATTTTAAACAGTGATACTTTATTGAGATGATTAATGATATTTTATTTAAATTTAAGTATATAAAGTAACCGAGATAACAAATA